AATGGCTGGTGGGTTTGAACCGCCAGCTGTCTGGTTAGCAGGCAAGTGTCTTAGCCACTATGCTACCAGAGCTCCCAGACAACCCTTAGTCCTTTTAAATCTTTAATCAGGGGTGGCCAAAGATGAGACTTTAAATCAGCAGGTGACTGAAGAGAGAAATGCCCCATTTGAAGGAGAAAGAATGGCATGAGCAAAGGCATAAATGCAAAGAGAACACAGAAAGTTCACAAAGAGAGTGGAAAATAGTTTGATACGACTGACGGATGAGTCCAATAACAACAACAGATGAGATGAGGGCCAGCTTAGGAAGAATTTGGGAACCATGCTAAGGCATATCGACTTTATCCTGAGGCAGTGTGGGCATCACACAGTGGAGTTACATGAGGAGATTTGCATTTTAAAAAGATCTGACTGTGGTAAAGCAGTGATATATGATGCCAACTTATATAATTTTAGCTTTTCTAGATACTACATTGAAATGTAGGAACTCTGGTAGTGTAGTGCCTGAGGCACTTGACTGCTAACCAGAAAGCCAGCGGTTCAAACCCACCAGCCACTCCTCGGAAGGCAATCTACTTACATAGTGATACTGCCTCAGAAACCCAAGGAGGGGTGGCTATGAGTCAGATCCTACTCGATGGCACCTAACAACCAGCAACAACAGGCTGTAGCCTCTCTGCTCTCTAAATGGTGTGGTATAAATTAAAGAAACAAAATAACTTAGATCCGAGCATGGTGCAACTTTTTAGCTGCCATGTTTGAGTTTTTAGTCAACAGGAAGGAGGGAGTTAGTGGAAGTGACAAAAGCATATTTAAAGTTACTTTGGCCACAGGGAGTGCTGAGTTGGAAAGGAGTGAAGTGAAGTTTAATCAGGGTAAATGCAGAGTCCCCTGCACTAATGAAAACTTCGTTTCAGAATCCCAGATGGGGCAAGACTACAGGGAAAGAGAACACATCAGAGGGGGTGGGGGGCGCAATTGACTCCAAAGTGTGGCACAAGGGGATCTGGAGGAGCCAGAGAACTATGTCCTGACTGAGGTGGTGGTCACATGACCATACTTTTCTCAAAACTTGAACAACTTAGACACCCCGAAAAGGTAGATTTTACTATATGTACGTTTTTTTAAAATTCCAGATTGTTCACAAAAAATAAACCATGAAGTGGAGGGAAGGATGTCATTAAAGGAGTAAGCTAGCTTTCTGTTGCCAGATGAAGGGAGTGGTAAAGAAACTTGAGG